TAGAATATAATTAACCCAAACATAAATAATATAAAGAAAAAATAATTTTGAAAAAGTGGCATTTTTGTAAAGATTTCAAAAGTGTGGCATTTTTGTAAAGTGATACTTGAAAAGTGACATTTTTAAAAATTTCTCTTAAAAAATACATCACAGTATTTAGAATCTAGATAAAATCAAATTAGAAATTTAAATAAATGAAATTGGAATGTTAGGAGTGGTGACGTATTCTATTATCTTTCAAATCATGAAAAGATTGAAATTTAAGACTATTTGTTAGCCTTCAACTGAGGATTAATTTAGCCTTATAATAAAAAGACATAGCAAGGGTTTTTATGCTTTTGGGAAAGGAAAAGATGTTTACCTTTTATAATAAATAAATAAAAGCAATACATGATTAGCATGTACGTATTTGAAAGTGATTGTTTCAGTTGTATTTTATTCCAACTTCATAATAGCGTTGCATTATATATTTGGGAAAAATTAGCGATTGTATACATGTTATGTGAACTGTCGCATGTATAGTTAACTGCTGATTTCGGACATATAAACATTCTTGATCGTATAGTGAAAAACTTCTCGGAAAAAAAAGGGTTAACTGCTCTGGCTCTCTCAACTTCTCCGATCCTCCCAGACTTTGACCTCTCTATTTTCCCTTTTAAAAGTACATTTCTTCATATTTCCCCATAAACTATTTAAATTCTTCAAAATTTCCAAAATCGAGATTGCGTTTCATTAACCGAGTATTAACCGATACTCGTCTAACCTAATCGTGTTCACAATAACCCGATTTTAGCTAAAATTCGAATCTGAACCATATTTAAAACTCTCATTTTCATAGAGAGGGTTACAATACGGGTTATATCAAACGCGATTATGAACCAAGTTAATCTAAACGGTATTTTCTGAAACGCAATTTCCGGTTAATTAAATGAAATCAATGGTTTAACTCGATTTCAGAAATTTTGAAAAATTTAAATAGTTTGGGGGAGGGCGATATGAAGAGATATACTTTCTAAGGGCGAGAAATAGAGCGGTCAAAAATCTAGGGGATCAAAGCAGAATATGGAAAGTTGAGGGGCCTAGAGCAGTCAACC